ATGAGAAAAAAAAAAAGCTTGAAACTCTTTTCACAAAAACCCCTAAGCATCTGACCTATATATTTTCCAAAAACTAATTTATTTTAGTGCTTAATGAAATGCAGTGCATCAGAAATTGATGCTGCGAGTAAACGCCGTTTTTTTTAATTTAATTTTTTATAAAGGAATTCTACCATTAACAACATTCAACTTGACTAACACAGAAAGTCAGAGTCTAACTATAATTACAAAGTATTTTCGCATTACAACTTTTCACGTAATTTTACTTTTACGAGCACATAAAGAGTAAAACTGAAATTAATTTTTTTATTTCAAATGTTACAACAACATTGCACAACAAGTAATTATGACGTAATTCTTCATTAAACAAAAAGTAAAACGATACTTGTGTGAGACTGCAGCCGATGCAACGAAAGTGTAAATAAACGCCGGGAAGAAAATTGCCCCATTTTTCGTAAAACAAAACAAAATATATAAAAAATAAAAGAAAAACAATAACAACATGTGTAAGAGTATTTATTACAGTGTTTCAATTTCTGCCAGGGTGGCAAGGGTGGGCGCACTGTATGAAGTTTTAGTATCGCTTTCAACACTTCATATATTTTTTTTATGTGCAAACATAATATATGTATAAGTACATATGTATATGTGTGTATGTATTTTGGTATACAATGCGTTCGGCGACAACACAATCTAAGTCATTTGGTTATTTTTAAATCGAAAAAGAAAAATTCTGGCAAAATGAAAAATGCGTCTACGAATGTGTGAAGTCTGGCAAAGTTTTTTCAACAGATTTCCAGCTCCAATTTCAATTGCACTCACACACGCACATGCACCCATGCGTTAAAGCCTGCAAGTGAATTGGAAAATATTTTTTTTATAAATTTTTACACACATACATACATATTTATATGTGGTATGTAGACTTATGCACACACAAACTCATCATTTTTGTGCTTTTAATATTTATTTGTACTTTATTGTTAACTTTTTTTGAGTGTTTGATCACTCTATTCGGAGTTGTAAACAATATTAAACAAGTAAATACACAAGCGTTTACATCTATGYATACATACATGCATCTATACATACATACCTACATATAAATGCACATAAGTAAACAAACAATAATTTTTCTCATTTCTATTTGGAAGTAAATACCTTGAATTACAGGTGTATAACGCGTACTACAAGTATTTAGATACATATATGTACATATATACAATACATGTAGGTATTTAACTTTATGGTTCTCAATTTTTCATTGCTTGTTGCTGTTTGAAGTTGATGGGTGCCCGAACAATTAATCAATTTAAGCGGAGACACAAGTTCGCGGCTCACAAATGGAACGCTTGCAGTAGCCAATATCAGACATATGCAGACAATAACATACACCGTTGGTCAGATATCTATATATATGTACACAACTTACTTGTGTATATGTGCACGGGTACACATGTATACTTGTGTTGACCACTCAAAGTGTTGGCATTGAAAACGTGGAAAAATAGCGGGTGTTGTTTATGTTACATTAATCGCCTGCCGTTGATCAGCATAGAAGCGAACCACAGCTCCACTTTTTGACTTTTTTGTACAAAAACTTGTACTTATTTATTATTTCAGTTAATCGTCTTACATCTTGATGGGTTGATATTATATATTTTCTGCTGCGAAAGCGAATTGGGAATTTAAGAGCCTCATGAATTTCAGCTTACAAGTGGAAAATATGAATGTATGTACATATGCATATCAATTAGCTGGATATATTTTGCCCTGTTTTGTTACTAAAGAGATTTATGGCTGTGAAATTTGTGCATAAGCGGTAGTATAAACAGAATTTTTGATTTTAAATATATAAGTTTCAATATACTAATGACACCACTTTAATGAACTACACTGAAAAGAGAAATTACTGCCTAGTGATCAGACCTAAACTATAGTTTCGAAGAGTATTACGTTGTCTTGGACAATAATCTGTGCCAAATTTCGCGAAATCTATCTTTTTCTTTGCAAATAAAAAATAGTTTCAGACAAGGGCTTAACTTTGAGCCGACAGTTTGTATGGCAGCTTTTGCTATAGAGGTGCGATATCGGCTCTTCTGACAAATAAGTAGCTTCTTTAGAGCAAAAAGACATCGGCAAAATTTCATATTAATGCCTCAAAAACTGACATAGCCTTGGGAACTTGTGCGCTCGAGGCTAGCCAGGCTAAGTGCGCCGTGTTTAAACGCGTTTTTCTTGAAACTGTGATTTTGAATTCTGTTGGCAATATTTATCGAGAACTACTCAATCGATCTTCACGAAATTTTACAAAGGTCTAAGATACAATTTCTAAAGATTTAAACGCAGGATTACAACTATTTGAAAAAAAAGTCGCGAAATTTCAACTGAAGTTTAAATTTTATTTTGTAAAAATGTCTGCCAAAAATCCAATTTTCATTTTTTTCCTAAAAATAAAAAATTCTAAAAAAGTATTTCATTTTTTAAATGAAAATTTTTTTAAAAAAGACTGTTCTTTACACGGGGAAACCCATGTAATCTCTTAAAAAAGGAGATATTTTAGCATGAAATTTTTTTATTAAAAATTAATTCTATATAAGGGGAAAAAAATATTTTAGGTAAACACAGGGCATGTGTTTAGCGCATAATTATAGAAAATGTGTACAAGATAAAATATATATATAACATAAATTTTGAGGTTAAAAGTAAACAATTTTATATAAAAGTTATAGATCTGTACATTTGCTACATTATTGCTAATTAATATATTTCTGTGGGGCTTGTAGTTTTTCCGGAAATCGACATAAGCAGATTTTAACCCATAAAAACTGAACCACGCTCCTCTTCTTCCTGTTTCCGACCAAAAATCAGCCGATCGTTCTCATCATATTATGACTTTCCTTTCTTATTTCACATTTTCAAATTTTTCTGCAACTATCTATTAATTTTTTCTCTTCATTGAGATCTCTATTTTCTAAAACATAACAGTATATTGGTAAGTGTTTCTTTTAGAAAATGCAATAAGCGGCCCAATCAAACTAAAGAAAACGAAAAATTGTAGTTGAACCATTTCAAATTTATATAATATAAGACTATTATTTTATTTCGAAATTTTCAAAATTAAAATAAATTTATATCAACTCAAAAATTAATTATTAATTATCCTCTAATATTTTTATCTTTTGTAATTTTTTTTTGTTTGTAAAAAAAATTCATACATATAATTTATAATTTAATTTCGAGTTGAAATTAATTTATTTGAAATAATTTTTTGCAAATTAATTAAATATTCAAATATATATTTTTTTTTTATAATTTTTTAACTAATATGTATTGCTTGCAATTTACTACATCTTATTACACACATATACATATATATGTACATATGCAGCATAAAATTTTCAGCTTCCGCTATCACACATAACCACTATATAACCATTTGATAACCAAAACTCTAATTTTATTTCAATGTGAGATGTTTCTATAATATCCTTTTTTCTTGCGTTAGTTTGCATATTAAATAACTCCAAAAATCTGAAATTTTAACAAAGAAGTTGTGAAAAAATAACCGTGCTTTTGTTATTTTCAATCAATTATTATTATATTAGTTGAATCAACAACAGTAAATAGCTTCCAATAGCGTTTTAAGCATATTCCGCAATTTGCAGACTTTCTTCGACCAGTGCTGCACTCATTACTTACGCACCACTATTGGTCCACTAAAATGTTTCATTATAATAAATTTAAGCTGCTTTTGTAGTCAACGTAGCTAAACGTCCACTGAAATTTTGAAGATTTTACTTAAAGCTCTTCATTTATAGATTTTCGTTTCAATATAACATATTTTATGCTACACATCCCATTGAAATTGAAAAAAATATTATTACGAAAGTGTTCTATATTCACTTCTATCTATTGCAAAAGCATTTAATATTTATACAATACTTTTGCACACATTTCTCTTCACACATCCGTTCGAATTTCCCATAAATTTGGCAATGTGCTGAAATATGTTTCCAGCTTTTTTCGTTTTCGTTTCTGCCAAATTCCAGCAATTCGTTGCATAATATCCATCGCTATGTACTACATAAGTACACAATCATTACGCATGAATATTTGAAATAAATTCAATTCTTGCTCACACAAATATTTTTAGCTTAATTGCAAACATATGGAGCAAAAAATTTATGTACGTAAAAGCTCGCTTGTTGAATCATTTTCTGATTTTCCCCAATTCCATGTGATTTTACATGTTGCCAGTTGCCACATGTGTATATTTGAGTAACTTCAAGAACTTGAAAATGTATACATATTTTAGCACCTATCGATGTAATTGTTATTTTTGGAAAATTTTTGAATTACTTTAGTTTTTTGAAGATTTTTTATTTTTTTTTTATACAGATAAGAATTTCGAAATTTTTTTTTTCGCATTGCGTTGAGAATTTTTTTTTTTAATATTATTTTA